GCCGTTTAAGAGCAGTCGTATTGAAAATTTAATGGAAGAGAATTTTTTTTAAATATTTATAAGTTTATTTAAGTATAAGACTTAGACGGACAGAAATGTAAATGATTTTATGGACTTTTTTTATTTTTAGCTGTTTTAACAATTACAACCAATTTGTGGAATTTATAGTAAATTGCAATATTTTACGGGTTCGAATCATGCTCGTGGCACTAACTTTTTCATTTCGACCAAAACTTTACATAAAAAATTAATTCATTGAAAGAATTCATTCGGTCAATAGACGACTAAATATAATGGATTTAATCAATTACAATAATTTACGGGTTCGAATACCGCTCGTGACACAATTTTTTTCATTTCGACCAAAACCTTACATAAAAAAATTAATTAATTGAAAGAAGTAATTTGGTCAAAAGACCACTAAATATAATGGATTTAATCAATTACAATAATTTACGGCTTCGAATCCCGCTCGTGACACAATTTTTTTCATTTCGACCAAAACCTTACATAAAAAATTAATTAATTGAAAGAAGTAATTTGGTCAAAATACCACTAAATATAATGGATTTAATCAATTACAATAATTTACGGCTTCGAATCCCGCTCGTGAGACAATTTTTTTCATTTCGACCAAAACCGTACATAAAAAAACTAATTAATTGAAAGAAGTAATTTGGTCAATAGACCAGGAAATAATGTATTTAATCAATTACAATAATTTAAGAAACAATAAAAAAATACATATAGGTAATAGAAGGGATAGTTTAACTCCGCCCCGAGGATTATCGAGTACTCTGTTGGTGTGAATGTGGCCAAACTTCTATGTTTATGTCGGGTGATAATGTACATATATGTATATATGTACTGTATATTTTTGTCTAGCCTGTCGTTGGCAAACGAGAGTCTAATATTTAGGACATCGATATGGTATACATATAAAAGCAGAGGAACAGTTACCAGATCGAGACTCTCAGATGGTTGCAGTTTAAAACACGACCAGAAAAAGAAGGAAAACGCGCAGAGGGTCGGCGATGAACTGAATTTTTGTCGGCTCATAAACCTTCTAAGAGATGTATGGTGTTTAGTGACCGTCACTTGATGATTATTTGGAGGTCGTGAGATGCGATCTGGTGTGTCGTAGGTTTTAGAAAAAGATTTTCTTTATCGTGCCAACGTTTTGATCTTTATTGAGATCATCTTCAGGGCTCAAAGTGTTTGTTTTCCGTGTAGATGTGTCATTCTTGTCTCGTGTGTGCCAATGTGTCGTTTTGCCAACGTGAAAATCTTTTTCTAAAACCCACGTCACACCACCGCATCTCACGACCTCCAAATAATGTAAGAGATGTCACAATAACACGATGTTCCATGCTTTTTTGAACTCTGTACATGTTTAAATTTGAAATAAAACCTCTTGAATCTAAATGCACGAGATGCTAAAGATGTAAAACTCAGTACAGCAACATTGTTGTATCATGTACTCGTTTTCATTTAATTATTGTCTATGCTTTACTTATCAGTTGAAATAAGTACGATTCCCTCTTCTTTAAACGTGGTATATTAGTCAAAAGTATCCACGATTCCTGCAGTACCACTAACAGAGTTGTACTGGAATATTTTTTTTGCCAAGCTTTTAATTAGTATACAATTAGATCGTTTCAACTAATTGTAGGATATTTTGCTGTTTCAATGTTTTGCATGATTTAACATAAAAATCATTTAAATTATAATGCTATGTTACAATGTATTTTTAAACTTTATCGGTATGAACATTTAGACGGGAAGAGGTTAAGTTGCCAACTTACGACTCTCAGACTTTACCAACTTTAAACTGATTTCTCTTAAATTTTATTCTCAAAGAGGTTTTAAATTTTCCCCCGTCAATAAAATACTCAATCTGTGTTGAGATTTGACTTATTCAATTATATAGTTTTCGTTTGTAGACTGGATTTCGAGTCGTCCTTAAAGTTCACGAACTAGCTGATTGTCGCGGTCCAAAATTACAGCTGTGGAAGTGACAAAGTTGAATTGCTTCTGAGTTTCCCGTTGGAGAAGTCATCAGAAGTGTTCATTCTCCTTAAGGGCGAGACATCGTATTATTAGTGAAAATTGCTGAAAGTTATTAGGAATGATAGACATTGTTCGTTATTCTTACTTCCGCTATTTCCAGATACTACCTAAAAATTTCTTTCTACATTGCAAACGATTTTAGGAATATACGCTCAAGGTAGAATTTATTTCGTTATAAATGTTTGCCAAAAATCGATCCATAGCAAGAAAACGAAAATAAATCAAGCCATGTTCAACTATCAAAGTCTCTCTCTATCGATCTATTTTTCGCTTTATATTTCTCATTTTCTATAGATGAACCAATCTATCTATTGTGTCAATGTAACTATCAAGTTTTCTTTTTTTTCTCATTGGGTTTTTCTGCGTTTTTCTTGAAAACTACGTGCCCTACGAGCCTAATTCCTTTTCCAATCGACTCAGCACGTCGATTTACATCGAAAAAGACAATAAAAAATGTTTCGATTTGTTTGCGTTTTTCTTGAAGACTACGTGTCCTACGAGTCTAATTCCTTTTCCAGTCGACTCAGCACGTCGATTTACATCGAAAAAGACGATAAAAAATGTTTCGATTTTTTTGCGTTTTTCTTGAAAACTACGTGTCCTACGAGCCTAATTCCTTTTCCAGTCGACTCAGCACGTCGATTTACATCGAAAAAAACAATAAAAAATGTTTCGATTTTTTTGCGTTTTTCTTGAAGACTACGTGTCCTACGAGTCTAATTCCTTTTCCAGTCGACTCAGCACGTCGATTTACATCGAAAAAGACAATAAAAAATGTTTCGATTTTTTTGCGTTTTTCTTGAAAATACGTGTCCTACGAGTCTGATTCCTTTTCCAGTCGACTCAGCAGGCCGGGGAAAATACAGAAGAAACACTGTATAGATACTGCAAGAAGAGGAGGAGACTGCAGGACACATTTTATGTTTCTGTGATGGCCTATGTAGGTGTAGGTTCTTGCAACAAGGACAAGAAAAACCGCAAGCAAGATCCTACACCAAGGAACAGCTGGCAAAGCTTGTTAATAGCCTGAAGCTGGTCAGTGAGTTATAAGTAACAGAGGAGCACTATTTAGGTCGAGGTGAAGTAGGCCTTGTGGCCACCTCTCTTATCCCTATCCCTACTCTCATGACATTGCATTCACCTCGGTAGTACGCCAAATTGGTCTCTCTATTTTTCTTTTTCAACTAATACATAACCAACATTAAATATTCCAATAAACATTGTAATACCCGAAACTGTAGATGTCTGTCTTAGCTTACAGTCCTATTTAAATTCCTTACAAGATCGGCATCCGTCTAATCTGCAACTATATTAGTAAATTCAATGCCATTACCTTAAGTTCAAATAACAATCCTTTCTGTTTTACATAGTCTTTCCAACTGCCCCTAAAGGGGCTCTCTGAATTTAAGAGACTTTCATGTCATATTCAATAGCATATTAAATTTCCTGTCTCATATTTCTCACATTACATAAACTTCCAAGCTCTTAGCAGCATTCGTCGATTTTCTAGGAAAACAAATGAAATTATTAAAAAAATGATATGTTTACTTCATTTAAAATGTTGTACCTTTCTTAACTAAGGCATCATCTAGAATACTCTTCCATACTCTAGTCTGCCTAGCTAATGAAACATTGATCACGTCGAAATTGCCAAAAGAAATTCCTTAGGATTGCTGCATTCCAATTTGGTTCAGTTATGCCTCAGAAACTAGAAATATTTGTTCATTTCTTCTCATAAACGAAAGAAAGCACAATTTACAGAATAATTACCATACGAATTAAACAACCTACCCTTGTTTTATTACCAAAACTTCTTTCCTTCAGATGTACTTTCCCCTAGTTTTAGTTTAACTCATAAATCTTGCAATCAATTTGAAATTTTTTCTTTGTATATTAAAGAAATATTTCAAAAAATGGTTCTCCCCAAGTTTAAAAGAGTATATTTGTATTTGGTTCCAGAATTCATTGGTGGACACAAACGTTTTGATCGATTCATCACAATATCTCAAAAATTAGTGAACATATTTGTAGAATCTAATCAACAGAACAATTTTCAAAATATACATTTATGCTCTTGTCTAAGAAATAAAAGTAAATGATCTGCTGCTGAGGTAATCAAAAATAGCGATGTAGACAAAGGGAAAAACTTTTAAAAAAATGCATTATCAGAAGGGTACACCAACAAAAGGGTTGCATACACTCTAAATTGAAATTTCCAGACTAAACCAACTACATGAAAATCCGTATGATTTGACCAAAGTGTTCACAATCTTTTAAACTTGCAAATAGCTTATTTTAAATATCAGAATCCACAAATAAAGGATTTCCATTCCTTATTATCTTTATACAAAACAACATCATTAAATTCTTCCTTACATCTCTTTCATTTTTTTTCATAATACATTCTATTTTTACTTGTTAGTTATTAAAATATTTTTTATCAATTTTAATACTGCAATACCCGGCAAATGAGCCTGAACTACTAAATAACCCAGCATTGTTATTAATCAAACTTTTCTTGACAAGTTGTTTATTTACTTTCACTTTATTTACTCTTTGAATCAATTCCATAGTTAAACAACTCCTTAAACATTATTATTGCTTAATCTTATTATTGTGTGTGTTATCAACAAAAGCAAAATTTATATTTCATTTTTTCTAATTAACTTAACAAGTTGGCTATGGCAGTAGAGGAAAAACAATGACCCGTTGGTTTTGTTCTATTACCATAAATTACAATTTTAACTAGGTTTGTTTATCTTTTTTTGTTGTTTTTCTATTGTTTATCTGTTTATGTCTTATTGTTATATAATTTTATCTCTTCCATTCACCGTCGTTCACTACTCATTATATCAACATATCTACTACCAATGCCAACTGAAAAATGATTTTTTTTTCCACATTTGGCACATATAAATGAAAAAGAATAATTATTTTTTCACATCAGTTTTATTCATATTTTCACCCTTCTTGAAATTCTTCTTGTGTGATGTCCTTGCATATTTTATTTGATTTTATTTCCTTCCAGTCAAGGAGCTTTTATTTGAACAACATTTTCTGGAACATTCATGACATTAGCTTGCAATTTCCCATAAATAAACAAGTTCAAATTTGAATATATACAAGAAATAAAGTTTTATTTGATCTTACCGTTTCATAAAACCATTCATGCATTTACATATATATATATATATATATATATATATATATAAAACATTAGTTATCAAATTAGGACAATTCAAACAGCTAATCTATACAATGTCAAGGATAGAATTACACAATAGTTAAAATTTGCTCTATCAAGATTTACTTTCCAGTAAATCTGCTTTGTTGTGGCTTATCTCAAATTTGTGAGTGACAGGCAATGTGTACATAATTCCGAGGTAAAATCACAATTAATTAATATTAATTTTCGCTTCTAAATTCTTATTTATTATAACATTACATTTATAAATCATAATGTTTTAAAAAATTAATCCACAAAAGCTTTTATACTGCTGCAGCTTGACCTGACATCCCATAAAGAAAATGGAAAATTAATCTATAACAATATGTTCTATGACAGATGTATACAAGCAATAAAAAAGTAAAATTCATCGTGGATCATCAATTAAAGAGCAGGATCATCTGGAAAGAATAAATTACCACCAAATTCTTTTAATTTGAAGATCTTAACTAATTTAATCCTTATTTGCTTAGTGATCAAAATTGACCATATTAATTATTCCAATTAATTATTTTTTGATTCAGAAAATTCAAAGGGTTGTAGGTTGTCCAAGGGGATTGAAATAACAATAGCTCAAGTGGTACAGCAGCGGTGTATTGAGGCCGAAAATCGTGGGTTCGAATCCTGCTCATGGCACTAATTTTTCATCTCAACCAAAATCCTTAGATAAAAAGAATTATTAATTGGAATCTTAACTAATACTACTAAGACCACCTTAAATTTCAAATTGAATAATATTTTGTCTAATACTAGTGTTAACTCAATCCCTCAAACATAATTAACTACAAATTTAATTATAATGTAAATTTCACTTAAGAAATTATAATTATAGCTTCAACTTTTAAAACATAATTTTATTCCAAAATAATTAACTTAGGCTTAAAAAATAACCATGACTGTTGGCACAAAATTGGTCAGAGTTTAAAAATTAGCAAAAAAAAATTATGTGGGGTCTTAAAGTATGCTTTTGGAGAATAGTATTGACCTCCTACTTCTTTTTACTCTTTTTTAAGCTCCACTTTTCATTGTTTTCAAATGTATGAATTTGCAGTCCACTTCTCTGCCCAAAATTATAGGTACAGAAGTTCTACAAAAGCACTAGCTGACAGAAGGCGTTTTTTTTTATATACTATTTCTTTACAATATAATCAATGAGCGACTAAATTATGCTGTCCTCATTTCATGTATCACTTTAATGTCCCAACACATGCTACTAAGCATTCATCTATGTTTAGTGTAAACTTTTCTAAAATAGATTACTTATTTTATTCATTAATAAATATAATAACGAGAAAAGGAAATAAGATAAGTCCAATTATTTATTTTTTCATCTAAATTTTAATATATTTAAGCATAAATTAAAGGCAATAATTTTATAGATCGTTTTGAAATAAATATTATTGTATTACATAAAATATAATTCTTCTGTTATATAAAAAATATATTATTATGAAATAATCAATTTTATCAGCTACTTAAATTGGTTTTGGTTTGGTTTATTGGTTCAGCATTTGTGTTCATCTTGATAGATTAATAATTGGCAAAATAAATAACAAACATGGTTATTGAAATACATTTCCGAAGTCTATGAAAAAAATTAAAAAAATTGTTTAGGGGCCATTCAGGCCCCCTGAGGGGACTGTGATAAGGTGAAGTCGGTGGGGATGGTAGCCCGGCATCCTCGTTAATACAAATAAGCATCGCAGATAGTCAAATTTTCAGTTATTGTTAATTGTCAGGAATGAAACTACTTTTTGGTTTTGCCTTATTGCCACTGATCATGGCCATAAATGATATTATCCCTCGCCTCCCTCCAAATCCACTTGTTTCAGACCTTATTACACTGGTCGCGACAAATTTAATCTCAATTTTTGGCCCATCAATGATTGTTGACACTAACGCAAATGTTCCAGAAGATTTTGCCCTCACGGTAAGTACCAAACTTTTGAAATTATTTTAAACTATGGTTAATCTTTAATTAATATTTTTATGTAATCAGTGATACCATTTGACGTTGACTGCCTTCGTTTTCTTAATTTTGTTAATATAAGTTTTTATTATTTAAAATATTTATTATTAATATTGTTGGCGGCTCTTGATTTTTACTGTTTTCCAAAATTCATAAATATCTTGGTATTTCTTTTCTTCTGACTACTTAACCCTTAAATTTGCTTTTTAGAATAAAATATTTTTTAACTGTTTTAAGAGCGGAAAGAGAGAAAGAGAGAGACAGAGTGTGTGTGTGTGTGTGTGTGTGTGTGTGTGTGTGTGTGTGTGTGTGTGTGTGTGTTTGTGCGTGCGTGCGTGCGTGCGTGCGTGCGTGTGTGTGTGAGAGAGAGAGAGAGAGAGTGTGTGGGTGTGTGTGTGTGTGCGCGTGCGCGTGCGCGCGCGTGAGAGAGAGAGAGAGAGAGAGTGAGAGAGAGAGAGATATTAAGACTAATATCGTGATGCTTTTTGTGTTCTTTCAGCAATTCTTCTGGACTAGAAACAGTTAAGTTCATCAGACAAAAACGATTGTTTTACACACAAACTGTTTTAAAAGAGCAGATTTATTAATAGATTCATTATTTGATATTTTTTCGAAGGGTATCTTGGCCTATTCTTTTCTTAAATGATTGATTACTTTCTCGATTCGTTCTTCAGTACAACTAATTTCTTCTTTTATCTACTTCATTTTGTATATAAATGGGAAGACCGGCTGAGTCAAAGGATGGGACAACGACATACCATAGATGTTACATGTTTTAACTTTTATATATTTAATTAGCATGTAATACTTTTATTTATAAGATAAAACAATAAATAAAAAATAGAAAAAAATTAGGTATTGAGTGCGAAATATATATTTGTGGATTTTAAAGCAATGCTTGAGTTGGGCTTTTGACAACCCAAGTTCATTTTGAAAATAGGTCATCTCTCTCCTGAAAAATAAATTTTCCTGTGCACCAGAACGAGTTCTAATTGTCCAACGCATCGTGTTTATATTCCACAAGACCCTTTGCTAATAAAAGAAAAATATTCCTAACAATTCTACAAAATTTAAACTTTATAATTTTTTTTTGTTTCTCTTGTAAAATTTGAAAAATCGGTCGCGGTTGTCAGTTGGTTCAGACACGTATCTGCATTTCGCCATCTTCTATGTTTGTTTGAAGAATAAAATTTAGTTACGTCACTCTTTCGGTGGATTAAGTCGGCGTATTTTTTCATTGTTCTACTCGGCTCTTTTGATATTCTATTATTTTTTCTTTTAAGCTCTGAAGATGGTGAAAAGCTAAAACGCGTCTGAGCTAAAACTGCGAGGATAGGCGGACCAGGATGATACGTAAGTATCAAATAATAGGTTTTTCATCCCGCAGACCATAATAGCAATAATAATAATTATTTATTGTTTTTATTATTTATTAAAATAAATATAAGTTAGAGCTGGGTGCTTCAGCCGAAACGAAAAAATGTTTAAACAATAAAATAATTGACTTTAAAAATTCTACATGGAATTATTTTGCTTTTTTAACAAAAACCAACAAACAAAAAAGTGCAATAAAAATAAGTAAAGTTTTACACTTCTTCAGAGATCAAACGCGTAATTGACCAAAGACGATGATAAGTATAACGGATTGGACCAATAACATCAATATTATTTACCCTCATACGGTGAAATGTTGTCGTCACAACTGTCTCATTTGTTCTACGTGCATCTGTGCGAATTCCAATTTTTTTAAAACATTTTTCAGCACTCCAAAACCCCGGCTTTGCCTGTAAGACCCGGTGCCCACTGGAGCAATACAAGCAATACATAGTGATGCTATATGCAATTCAACACCTTATCGCTTACAACCTAAACAAGTCCACATGAACGCGATTGCGATGCGATAATTATCGGCGGCGTACCGGCTTGGGCGACACTTATCGCCTCTGGCGATAGATCGGCGCGACTTGTCAGTGAATCATGTCGACTCAAAAGGACGTCTCTGCTGCTATTTCTTTTGACAAATTTTTATCTTTTGACAACAAAACCCATGTTTATGGAGCTATTCGAAAAGTTATTAAAGAACGAATTTAACAAGCGTAGCATGAAACAAAATAGCAGAAAAGCTGAAGCTGAAAATATTGTTATTATATTAGTTTACCAATATTTTATCTTTTTTTTATTTCGGCTGACTTAAGTACCAGAAAGCAATAATGACATCCTCCTCTAAAGAACTCTTCATGATTACAACTGCTTAAAAAGTTACACTACTAAAATAATAGAGATCAACATAATAACAATGGGCTAGAGTTCGTCTGTCAAGACAGAAGTAAACATATTAAAATTAAGAGAAATATTATTTTTTACTAAAATGAAAATTAATTAAAATTAAATTCATCCACTAAAAACTGTCTATTTTAAAGCGGTAATGGTATATGAATAAAAGTCATCCCAATTGTCTCAAAAATGGCTAAACATTGACCATGTGACAAAGATCTCCAGTTGTAATAAAATAAATGAAATTCTCCATGGTAGGACATTTGTGTATAAAATGCTCAGTTTCATTGACATTGCAGTTGCATTGTGAACAAAGTTAATACATAATTTTGTCTCCTGGTTGATAATTGACTGTTGTTAATTTAAAAAATAAGCTAGCCTTATTTATAAAAATGGTTGATCATGATGTAACTGTTTGTAGTACAGGTGGAATCTTGCTGCTGATACATTGACTTATAATCTGTCCTTTCCCTCAACCTGAGCTTCTCCAAAAATGTTACAGAGAGGCCACTTATATTCGGCACTGAATCTGTTGAATCCATGGAAATTTTGGTTCCTGCACTCTTTTCATCCAGACCTTAACCCAACCAGTCTTCAACCTCACATTTTAATGAGTAATCAAATTACTAATTTCGTTTGAAATTAGCCAGCTTGTTATGATCGTTGAATGTTTTGGCAACAAAGGTGGAATGTTAATTTAAACTTAAAAGAAATAAATTGACATATTAGTTTCTAAATAGATTGCACAATTGGGCATATAATTGGGAAGGGATAATATTATGTTCATAGCTAATCGTTGAAATTTTTCTAGATCTATATATTCTTTATTTCTAAAATTATACAATTAAATTACCATCTTTAGTCTAAAATTATATTTATTGTTTTTAAATATGATAATTTTTGATCTAGTGGTATTAAATTTAAGTTTCCAGTAGTCACAATACATTTCTAAATCTTCTATCGTTTATCATTTCTTGTAACACCAAAGTAAAGTCTACCAGTTATACCACATCGTCAGCGTACATAACAGTTTAATGTAAAACGGTATCGTATCGCTTGTCATTTCGCTCCAGTGGGCAAAACAGTGTTGCACTGATAAAAATCGTATTGGGCGATAAAAGATCGTTTCATATTGCGTCACTATCATATCACTCCAATGGGCACAGTGCCTAAGGGATAGTCTTGAAAGGATTGATCCATATCAGTTTGTTAATTGTTCAGCAGTCTCTGTTAAATTCACAGTTTATTTTTCTTCCTTTCATACACCTCTTCTGCCATAGTTTTATATTGAAGATTTAAAGTTAAATAAAATGCCGTTATGTAACCATGATAATATTGAAATAAGCTAAATAAGACAACCTAAACAATTTATTAAAATATGAAATTGTTTTTGTTGTATTGACAAAATGAAACAAGTGATATTTTACATTATATATTATTTTTCGGAAATCGTGAGATGTGGTCTGGTATGACGTCACACCAGACTGCATCTCACGATTTCTGAATAATTATCGATTAATGGTCACTAATCACCACATCAATATATCTTATATTATACAGGGTGAATTGCTACTCGTGCTACAAACTTCTCCAGTAGATTCTTCACCCTAAAATGAACAAAAAAGTTCATATTGTCCATGGTCCGNTCGGACCATGGACAATATGAACTTTTTTGTTCATTTTAGGGTGAAGAATCTACTGGAGAAGTTTGTAGCACGAGTAGCAATTCACCCTGTATATTATTAAATTCACTAGTTTTGTGGTCCGCTTGACCAATTAATATCTTACAATAGAAAAATGGCAAAAAGGAGGGAAAATTCAAAAAGTGCGGTTGAGATGGGAGGTTGGTGTCCGAGTGGATCGAGGTCACGATAGCTCAAGTGGTAGAGCAGCGGTGTATCAAGCCGAAGATCGTGGGTTCGAATCCCGCTCGTGCCATTGACTTTTTTATCTCAACTGAAAACCTTAATTAATTATATTATATATTATATTATATTATATTGACTCATTAAAATTGACTATAGAATCCTTTTTTGATTATTTAAAAATAGGTTTTATATTTGTACTATTAACAATCTCATCAAAAAAAGATTAAGAAACCTTGGGTATTTAAAATGGAATATGCTCCCAAAACTCTTTTGATTTGGTTAATGAGTAACCTTTAACCAAATATATTAACTAATCTCCTTTAACAAACCTATTAATCTGTTTAAATTATAGGACACTCTAGTTAAACAGAATGGGTACGGCTATGAGTTTCATAAAGTCGTCACCGAAGATGGCTACATTCTTAGCCTACACAGAATCCTTCCACGCAATGATACAGAACGTGGTGACAGAGTGCCAGTTTTTATCCAACATGGGGTTTTGGTTTCTTCGGATTCATGGCTTATAGGGCCAAGGTCAAGTTTAGGTAAGGAAAATGTTGAAAAATAGCTGAAAATGAAGTTATTCAATAAAAAATTTTATATAAAGCTTTCTTACTCGCTGACCATGGTTATGAGGTCTGGCTTGGCGACCAGCGTGGGAGCGCTTACTCTAGGAGTCATGTATCATACACAGTTAAAGACTTTCAATATTGGAATTTCTCGTACATATATTCATTTTATTTACTTAATAATTAGTCTGTCAACTCATTAATTTTTTTTAAATTTTAGTTTTCATGAAAGTGGAATGTTTGACATACCAGCTTTTATAGACCAGGTGTTAAATGTAACTGGTAAACCACAATTGTTTTACATCGGCCATTCAATGGGAACAACGGTTTTACTTACAATGGCATCTATGCGACCCGACTATAATGCTAAGGTATTTTTAAAATAATTAGAATAAATGACTTTCTTAACACAATTTGCTGGGGAAAAAATAATTACCTGGATGTAAACATTAACAGATGAAAGCCGCTGTACTTCTTGCCCCTATTGATACAGCTCCTACAGTTTCAGAACTAAATCGGACCACTCTAACGCTAGGTATAAAGTACGTTGATGCCATAAAGGTATGAGGAACACCTACAAAATTAATATGAGTTTGAAAATTTACTTCATTATATTTTCTTTGAATTCTTGTGCTTTACCAAGGGATATTATTATGTGAAAAGATAAGAAAGGGATATAAATGATCTCTTTTAAAACAAGCATGGACAAACTTAAGTTTGTGAATGATTGAAGTTATAATTTTTTCAAACTTTAGAATTTAATAACTAATTAGTATGATTGTGATGTGGAAATTATAGATGCAAGTGAATAACTTACGAACTATTTTAGTATTTTACTAACTGCTTTCAAAGATTATTTTCAAATTCAGGGCTGTTTAACACAAATGTCTTTGATGGCATTGAAGAAAGTTATCTTCTACTGATTTTCTGGTAGGAGAGAAAGTTGGCTTCAATGATTTGGTGTTGTAAGTCCACCATTGTAAAGGTGATACTTTAGTCTTGTTATTAAATATAAGTGCTATTGACATTCTCTCTTAACAGAATACAGTAAAACAGTTTTTATTAAATAAAGTGTTTTGACACCCTTTACTATATCTACAGTCAACAAATCTTTTTTTTTACTTTCTAGGAATCCTATGACATAGAGCATAAGTATGAATTTTTACCAAGAAATGGAGAACTTATTAACTTCATTAGAAAATACTGTGTACCTGGTTCTCCTATACTTCACTTATGTTTTGATGTAATTGGAATAGTATGTGGTGAACATAGAGCAAATTTGGATAGAGTAAGTAAAAAAATGGATTAACATTTTAAGATTTTAATTTTTGTGAATTTTATCTAGGATACAATAGGCAAATCTGGAAGTTACGTGCCAGCAGGCACTTCTATAAAAACTATGGACCACCTTACACAACTCTATAAATCAGGTATAGATAAAAAGCTTTTCTCTGTTAAATTTATCATTTTTCCTAAAAAATTAACCTTTTTTGTTATTTGAAATGAACTCTTGACTGCATCCTCCTCAAAATAAACTTTATGTGCTTACGTTTCCTAAGTTTTTTGATGATCTGATATTTTAAAGTTTCAAAAGAAAGGGTTAATATGAACTTAAAAAATCATCAGTCAATTTGAAATTATGAATGGTTAATTTGAAGGTGGAAATTTTTTTTTTAATTAAAAGGGTTAATTTCATGGAAAAAGGTAGAGGTGGTTTTCTCCAACGGGAAAAAGTAGGATGTCCCTTCGTATGTTTTGAAAATAAGGAATTTATTCATGGTATGAACTGTTTTTGTTGAACGATACGAATTAAATGTTTTTCAATTTAAGGGTTCAGGCTTTTCAACTATGGAAAGCGAAAAAACTTGGAACTTTATGGTACCGATATGCCTCCATTTTATCCTTTGGAGAGGGTAACAACTCCAATTGCACTTTACTATGGCGATAATGACGCTTTAATGAACGGAAGGGTAAATTTATATTTATTTGTTGTGCTATGATTTCCTATTTAATTCAATTCTCTTTCAGTCTGCTGATAAACTGGCAAGCATGCTGCCAAATCTGATAATGAATAAGATGGTAGCAGATCCAAAATTTACCCATGCTGACTATATATTGGGCATAAATGCGAAAGAAATGGTGTATGATGATGTGATTAATATGCTGGAATCATTACAATAGGTTTACTGTACCAAAAAAATTGCTAATTGTCTTCCAGTGTAACATCAAATCTTAGCGTTACCAATATATTCATAATAGGAATAGTAATTATAACTAACCTCCTCAATATAAACTTTACATGCTTACATTTCAAATTCAATTGCTTAAGTGATTTATCATGGCTAAGGCTCAGTGACAATTAAAAGACTGTTACCATATAGGAGGTAATTCATTCTAACTCTAGTAATGAGAACACGGAAAAATTGTCTTCTACAAATATGCCATACAAGAAGGATATCCAATTGGACAGGCAGACTACCATTAAAGACCTTGAAATCACTTAATATTTAACATCAATTATATTTAACATGCTTTGCACCTCAATAAGGCAAATCAATTTTAGCTTTCTTACATAAAACTACAAAAAAGTTTAAGGTTACAGAAACAATGATTACATGTTTCAGGTTATGGTCTGTCCCATTTTAGAATGCTTTTCCAAATCAGAAAATACTAAGTGATTGAATAGAAAATGTACAGCGACAATTTATTGGCATTCTCTGGTTTAAAATTACTGGAACATATTTCGTTAGACCATATTTGGTTAGGTTGGTGTTATTTTCAAAAACTAATTATAATACAAATTATTTAATATTTACTCCAATTCCTCGACTCACAGGAATGAGTAATTATTGTGACACATTTCACATTTTCTTAAATCGATGTAAAAATTTTTTTAAATATTGATCATGGCAAGTGCATTTGATTTGTTTAAATATTAATGTTGCTTTTCTTAAAATTTTATCATTCCATCTCACTTCCTTTATATTTGTTTATATATTCCTGTTGTTTATTTATATAATTAAATTTTTATCATTGCTTCTCACTTCTTTTATATTTTTACACACATGTGTATTATGAACAATATTTACAATATTTTGTGTTTATTATGTTGAATACATACATATTTTTAATTGTTGTTGTATGCATATTATTATTTATGTTTCATTTATTCATTATTACTAATGTATAGTCTAAACTCTTATAGAACTTGTAACTGCGTAAATTTACTCATAAAATAAATAGATAAATAAACTAATGAATTAAAAAATATCACAATACAAGTACTACAAATGAAATTAAGAATCACATCCGACGCCAAGTTGTAAGCAAAGCAGCATTTGTAGACATTGAAATGTACATAATTATAACGAGAATTAAAAGAAAAAGAATTTAGTTTATTTATTTCTTTGATCAAGAGGTGCTGGGCCGTCCTCAAGGATGGTGTCCCTTTGCAAGCCTGAATCATTCCTTCCATTTCTGCAGGTAGCTCCATTGCGTAGTTGACCTCTTCTGTTATTTCAATAGGTACTTGTGCTTCTGCAGATAGCTCCATTGTGTAGTTGGCCTCTTCGGTTATTTCAATATGTACTTGTGCTTCTGCAGGTAACTCCGTTGTGTAGTTGGCCTTTTCGGTGATTTCAATACATACTTGTGCTTCTACAGTTGGCTCCATTTTGTAGATTGCCGCTTATCGATCTTGAATGCTGTCTCCGATGTTCTTTACATACCTGAATCCTGCAGCAGCCTACATGTTGCAGTTGATTTATTCGCCAACCTGATTCAGTCCATCTACTATTGCATCTGGATCCATTTTGCAGATTGCCTCTTTATGGTGGTGAATATTTCCTTCGTCCAGGCTGAATTTTGCAGATTGCCACTTCACCGTTTTGTAACCCTCCTCCACCCGGCTCCATTTTTTATACTGCCACTTCCACAATTTCAATCTCTCCTCCTTCCTGTTCCATTTTGCAGATTGCCTCTTGACAGTGTTGAATATTTCCTCCGCCCTGCTCCCATGTGTAAATCGCAGCTTATCCATCTTGATTCTTGTCTCCGCTGTTCTTTACCTACGTGAACCATTTTGCTTGTTGTGCCTTCATCAGTAAGAATCGCTCCATATGCTTTTGCAGCTTGCTCCATTTTCAGATTGCCTCTTGACGGTGTTGAATATTTCCTCCACCATGCGGATTGCTTCTTCACCATTTTGTAACGCTCCTCCACCCGGGTCCATTTTTTATACTGCCACTTCCACAATTTCAATTCCTCCTCCTCCCTGTTCCATTTTGCAAATTGCCCCTTGACGGTGTTGAACATTTCCTCCACCCGGCTCTATTGTGTAAATTGCTGCTTAGATAGAGATAGATGTAATAATTCAGGGTGTGGTATACTGCGCCCTTTAAGAGCTATTGTATCCCCTGTGCTCTGCCTAAAGCACATCGGTGAGTCCTATTTCATCAAGAAACTTGATCAATAGGCCCGGTTTCAGTGGTTGTAGTTCTTCTATGGTCACATTGTACATCCCAAAACACTTCCTCCTGCGGGCTANCTGCCACTTCCATAATTTCAACCCCTCCTCCTTCATGTTCCATTTTGCAGATTGCCTCTTGACAGTGTTGAATATTTCATCCACCCTGCTGCATTGTGTAAATTGCTGCTTATCCATCTTGAATCCCGTCTCCACTGTCCTTTACTTACGTGAATCCAGTTTGCTTGTTGTGCCTTCATCGGTATGAATCGCTCCAGGTGCTTCTGCAGCTTTCTCCATTTTCAGATTGCCTCTTGACGGTGTTGAATATTTCCTCCAGCCTGCACCATTGTGTAATTTGCTGCTTATCCATCTTGAATCCTGTCTCCACTGTTCTTTACATACGTGAATCCAGTTTGCTTGTTGTGCCTTCATCAGTATGAATCGCTCCATGTGCGTCTGCAACGCGCTCCATTTTCAGAATGCCTCCTGACGGTGTAGAATATTTTCTCCACCCGGCTATATTTTCCAGATTGCTTCTTCGCCATTTTGTAACCCACCTCCAACCGGCTCCATTTTTTATACTGCCACTTCGATAATTTCAATGCCTCCTCCTCCCTCTTCCATTTTCCAGATTTCCTCTTAACGGTGTTGAATATTTCTTCCACTCGGCTGTATTTTGCAGATTGCTTCTTCACCATTTTGTAACACACCTCCACCCGGCTCTATTTTTTATACTGCCACTTCCACAATTTCAATCCCTCCTCCTCCCTATTCCATTTTCCAGATTTAGTCTTAACGGAGTTGAATATTTCTTCCACCCGGCTGTATTTTGCAGATTGCTTCTTCACCATTTTGTAACACACCTCCACCGGGCTCCATTTTTTTTACTGCCACTTCCACAATTTCAATCCCTCCTCCTCCCTGTTCCATTTTGCAAATTTCCTCTTGACAGTGTAGAATATTTCCTCCACTCAGCTTCATTCTGTAGATAGCTGTTTATGCATCTTGAATCCTATCTCCGCTGATGTTTACTTACATGATTCCATTTTTTTTGATGTGCCTTCTTCATTATGCATCGCTCCATGTGCTTCTACAGCTTGATCCATTTTCAGATTGCCTCTTGACTTTGTTAAATATTTCTTCCACCCGGCTGTATTTTGCATATTGCTTCTTCGCCATTTTGTAACCCACCTCCACCCGGCTCGATTTTTTATACTGCCACTTCCACAATTTCAATCCCTCCTCCTCCCCGTTCCATTTTGCAGATTGCCTTTTGACGGTGTTCAATATTTCTTCCACCCGGCTTCATTCTGTAGTTTCCTGTTTATGCATCTTCTATCCAGCCTCACCTGTTGTTTACGTACCTGAATCTATTTTTTTTGTTTTGCCTTCATCAGTATGAATCGCTCCATGTGCTTCTACAGCTTCATCCATTTTAACATTTCCTCTTGACGGTGTTGAATATTTCTTCCACCCGGCTGTATTTTGCAGATTGCTTCTTCACCATTATGTAATCCACCTCCACCCGGCTCCATTTTTTTACTGCCACTTCCACAATTTCAATCCCTCCTCCTCCCTGTTCCATTTTGCAGATTTCCTCTTGACGGTGTTGAATATTTCCTCCACCCGGCTTCATTCTGTAGTTTGCTGTTTATGCATCTTGTATCCATCCTCCGCTGTTGTTTACGTTCCTGAATCTATTTTCATTGTTTTGCCTTCATCAGTATGAATCGCTCCATGTGCTTCTACAGCTTGATCCATTTTAACATTTCCTCTTGACGGTGTTGAATATTTCTTCCACCCGGCTGTATTTTGCAGATTGCTTCTTCACCATTTTGTAACCCACCTCCACCCGGCTGCATTTTTTTACTGCCACTTCCACAATTTCAATCCCTCCTCCTCCCTGTTCCATTTTCCAAATTTCCTCTTGACGGTGTTGAATATTTCCTCCACCCGGCTTCATTCTGTAGATAGCTGTTTATGCATCTTGAATCCTGTCTCCGCTGTTGTTTACTAACGTGAATCCATTTTGCTTGTTGTGCCTTCATCAGTTTGAATCGCTCCATGTGCTTCTGCAGCTTGCTCCATTTTGCTGATTGTCTCTTGACAGTGTTGAATATTTCGTACACCCGGTTCCATTGTGTAGATTGCTACTTATCCATCTTGAATCCTGTCTCCGCTGTTCTTACCTTACCTGAATCCTGCAGCAGCCTACATGTTGCAGTTGTTTCATTCGCCAACTTGTATCTGTTCATCTATTTTTGCATCCGGCATGTGTGCTTCTGCAGCTCACTCCATTTTGCAGATTGTCTCTTGACAGTGTTGAATATTTCCTCCACCCAGTTCCATTGTGTAGATTGCTGCTTATCCATCTTGAATCCTGTCTCCGCTGTTCTTTACTTACCTGAATCCTGCAGCAGCCTGCATGTTGCAGTTGTTTTTTTCACTAACCTGAATCAGTCCCTATATATTTGCATCCGGCTCCATTTTGCAGATTGCCTCTTGATGGTGTTCAATATTTTCTTCACCCGGCTGAATTTTTCGAATTGCTTTTTCACCGTTTTGTAACCCTCCTTCTCCTTGTTCCATTTTGTAGATTGTCCCCTCGCTGCTTCTCTAGCTGGGTGTATTTTTTAGATTGCCTCTTCAATGATTTGATTAGCTCATTTTAATTCTGCAACTGCCTCATTTTGCTAGTTGTGCGTTCGTCGGTATGATTCGTTCCATGTGCTTCTGCAATTCGCTCCTCTTTGCAGATTTTCTCTTGAGAGTGTTGAATATTTCCTCCACCCAGCTCCATTTTGCAGAATGCATCATTGCCGGTTTGTATACTTCCTCCACCCAGCTCTATTTTGCAGATTGCTGCTTCTCCATCTTAAAACCCTTCTCCTCCTTGCTTCATTGTCATGAATCCTCACTTGAACTTCTTCCTCTGGCTACATTTTGCAGAAAACATAATAATGAAATATGAATATTTCTGTGAATAATCCCTGCACCTGAAACAATAGGAAAATTAACAAATTTTGCAATACCAATTACAGAAAGTGGCATTGAAAAGCTAACCAATGAGGTAGGGAAACGTATTTTTATTGATACACCAGTTGAAAAATCATATCCTCTAAAACTCCCGGCAAATGTTAAAACACTACTATACTCTACACTTACGATATTAATGATAGACAGAATTAGAACAACAGCCAGAGGGGGATTAACAATTAAATCGAGTAGAAGATAAAGAAAATCTATTAAATTTTGAGCGTTCCACAAATAGTGGACTCAAAATAAGGTCCTCGCCTCAAAGATGCCCCTTACTCATTATCATGAAATCATTATCATGAAATCATTATCATATTATCAATTATTATTATCATCATTATCAAAAGAAATTGGGCTAGCCGATTTGAAAGAACAAATATTTAACAGAAATGAATTAAGAGCTAACTGGAATGAGAACTCACTGAGACTACTCTTCTTGATACCACTTGGAAGAGCAAAGGCTAATGATCGCCTAGGCCAAACTGTACCCAGAACCATGGAAAGTGGCCATTAAGCACAAAATACTTAACCTCGACTACCAATCATGCACTGTAAAAGAATATCTCAAAGTAACCCAGTGCTATTGATGCCAGAAATATGGTCATGTCTCTACAGCATGCTCAGCTGATAGACCAGCAAGTGCATTGTGCTCAGAAGAACATGACACAAGAAAATGTAAAAGCACAAGTATAAAATGTATCAATTGCCAGAGAATCAGAAGTGATCCTTATCATCAATCATTAACAAAAGTGTCTTAGCCATAGAAGAGCAGTAATTAGACGAAAAAGCAGCATAAATTATGACTCTTAACCTTAAGAGAGGACAGTTCAATTTGCATGGATCATAAAGTGAATGTGATGAGACAAGAATGTTAATTCTACAAAATGGTACAGACATCCTCTTAGCCCAAGAACCATGCAAGAATAAACTCATTAAAGCAATGGGTCTCAGCACTCGAGCCATGTTCATCACCTAATGCAAAGGCAGTTATCTATGTTAGCAACCACACGATAAAGGCAATCCAACTCCCGTAAACAACAGCATGAAAACATGTCCATAAAAAAGCACACCAAAAGCAACTGCCAAAAGGCCATCTCAAATTATAGTTGATTCAAGTTGATAAGTGGAGCTACATGGGGCACAACATACAAGAGCAATGGTTACATACAAATCTGTATTTGAATCATCATATTGCTGCCCAGCATGGATGAAATTATTGTAGAGAATAAAGTGGCAAGAAATAATTAAAGCCCAGCAAAGTGATCTACAAATAGCGCCACCTACAAGACGACCTTAACCAAGCTATTCGAGTGTTTACCAGTCAGATTCCTTTAGACTTGAAAATTAGAACAAACAACTTAATATGAGAAAAAAGAAAAGGAGTATCACCAACAATTGAAAATTTAATTAAAATGGAAACAGCATTTACATGGGCATACCAGCATTGGCAGCTTCGATGGGACACAACAACCAAAGAACAAAAAAATGAAACACCTGCACATCAACCATTATACATCCCAATTACTATCAGGGCATGGTAAATTTGCTCAAAAATTGCATGTATTCAACCTGGTAAACTCACCTCTTTGTGAATGTGGTCACAAGGAATCAGCAGAACAGTCATGAGTTGCGTAAAATATGCTGAAGCACGAGAAGTTTGATTGCATAAAATAAGAGAAACATTAGAACTGTTAGAACACTAGAAATGTTAAAAAGAACATTAAAAACAAAAAGACAAAGACGTTTGAAGTAACTGAAAAATTTGTTAAGCAAGTGATGTAACAAAAAATTGGCAACTAAACAACTAAATAAATATCCATAGCAACACTTATTTGTAAAGCTAAAATATATGATTATTTATTTTATTTATATATTTATCTTTGTACATAGTAAAGTGTTTTTGATTAATGCTATATTTTGTTATTTTTCTTAAGTAATACAATAAATTAAGGTAATAAAAATAAATGTTCATAATTGGGGAGTCAGAAGAGAATTAGACAGGCCCACTATTCAAGAAACAGTTGGAATTCCAATCAACTAGAGCAAATAATTTGAAAAAGTATTTAGGAAAACGAATACACATGGTGTAATAGAAATAAAAGTGAACATTCATCATGTCGTGTGTGTTAACAATTACTCGCCCTTGCAACATGTCTAATAAAGACTGCCAGCCAAAGACAAATTTGAGATTGATGCCGGCTAAACATTGTTTTCAACCAAGTAGAATAATGAGAATTTGGAATGAGACTTGTGTGAGATAATAATACTTTAGGTCGGGGTTCAGAAGGTGCTCCATTTAGTATTTGTAAAGAGCTCTACAATCTACTCAAATATTTTCACATTTATTTATGCATTCATTTATGTCATTAAATAATAAAAATTGAATTTTATTAGGACATAAGCACATGTGCTGCTTACTCTCCTGTTATTATTTCCTATTTCTTAAATGGCTGGCACAAGATTCTGTCCAAGTGTTGATGGTATAAATCAATTGTCTGCTTTATGGAGACCAATGACATAAAAAACTAATATTAACTGACTGGCTAAGTGTGGAAATTTTTAAATGATTGTAGTACTCATCCACAAGAATAGAAAACATACCCCACCTTATAATTAGAAGCAAAGTATAATAATAATAATAATAATAGGCTTTTAATAGGGAACAACCTTCTAACTTGTCCTCGATGTATGCGAAGTGGAGAACGCATCATTTTGACAGTAAAACATATTTTGGTCGACTGTCCCACGTTACAACCCTTTAGGCAAAGGCGCAACCTTTCGAGTGATTTACAGGTGTCCCAAGTGTTTTTTTCGAAGAGCACTTTTCAGCTTTCTCAAATTTACTGGAATTTATAATGAGATTTAGGCCTTTTCCCAAATTGTTATACCATTCAACGTTTGCCTGCTAATGTTTGAATGAAAGTTGCAAGATGTCTTTTTTTAGAAGTTTTTGAGGCTGCCGGAACGGAAAAATGAAATGGAAGAAAATACAAATTGCGGCGTAATGAACTGCAAAGCCTAAAATCGCAATTTAAATAAGAAAAATAGCTCCCTCAAAAAAAAAAAAAAAGTGTTATTGTGTTTTGTTTCTTATTATTGTTATTAGAATTAGTTTATGTATCATATTTGAATGGAAGAATAAAAGGACAAGGATGAGCCTATACTCATGCTGAGACTGTGCTAGTCTGACTCCATTATTATTATTATTATTATTATTAGCCATACAAGCCTATGGGAAATGTTTAAATTATGGAACAAAAATTCACAATTCTAATCAAAAAAGAAACAGAAATAAATTTTATATGTAATTTAAAATGGGATTTTTGCATACATTTGGCTTTCCAAATTAAGAATTTTAAAAAGAAAAAAGAAAAATTAAAGCTTGGATGGCAATAGGATAAATTAGTTTACGAATGAATGTTTGGAGTCAGAGCTTTATAGCACTCAGAAGAGATATAGCTAACCTAAGATAGAAGGTTTGGATGTTAGGGCGTGAAATGACCTTAACCGTTAAAACGCCCTAAAAAATTAATAATAATAATAAATTGCCTTTATTTATATTATTTGACAATATGTAGTTTAATCTGGATATATATGTTTAAGCTGGCTTTTCCCATGGTCACAAGACCATCAGGGGAGGGCGCACATGTATATATAAATAGTATAAGCAATAAATGTTTTAACAAAGCAATAGAATGTAGTATTAATTAACAGCTTATCTTAACACTAGTTTAATGATATAATTCATGCAAAAAAATAAATAAAATGAATAAAAATAAAATAAATTAATTAATTAAACAAATTTAAACAATAGTAACATAGAACAGTTATACATAATATAATAAATACATAAGTAATAAATAAATGTCATTGTTCATTATATTAAAATTGCTCTTAATAAATTGTTCTTTAATATTAAGCTCTTTAATATTATTTGATCATAATTAAATTCTTGTATTAACCTCTCTCTATACTTCCATGCCATTCTACAATACTTGATTGGTTTGGTCCAGTCTTTTTCTCCTCGTAAGTATACAAGCAACTCTTTTTTAGTTAGAAAGCACTTTCCAAATATCAGCAATATAAATTCAGAGAGAACTGAGCAGTGGGCAATGAAATGTGTAAAATAATCTTCGTTTTTATTGCATAAAGAACATAGCTTATTTTTCTGGCCAAATTTGTACATATTTAGATTTAATAATTCACATCTTATTTTCATAAACCAGCTTATTTCAAGGTTGTTGTTTGTGCGCAGGTAAGCATTACAATTTAGGATGGTTTTAAATTGGGGGTGATATAAGAAATTACTTGCTTTCTCTATGTACGAGTTTTTTATATTGGCTTCAACCTTTTTCATTATTACAATTAATTAAGGCTTTTAATTGAGATGTAAAAAAGTTAATGGCACGAGCGGGATTCGAACCCACGATCTTCGGCTAGATACGCCGCTGCTCTACCCCTTGAGCTATCGTGACCTCGATCCACTCGGACATCAACGTCCTATCTCAACCCCACCTTGTGAGTTTTTCCTCCTTTTTGCCATTTTTCAATTTTTTCAACTTTTTCATTATATCATTGATTGTTTGTTTTGAGTTGAGTAATGCTTGGGTAGAAATACCATGTGCCTTTTCAATCTCGCTATATTCCCTAAAGCAGAGTAGATTTTTTTCTCATGATACTGTTGTTAGGTAGTGTGGGTATCTGTCAGGGGTCAACTTGAGGCACCTAATTGTACAACTGATGTGTAGTTTTAGTGTATATAGGAAAATAAGTGTAGTTTCTAATTCTAGGTAGAGCATATAGTTAGGCGTGTATGAGGGTAGGTTTAGAATTCTTTTGAGGTAAGATCTTTGCACTTTTTCCATAATATCTTGGTACTTATATCCCCATACCTGGGCCCCAAAACACAAGGTGGACCTGCATATAGCATTAAATACAATCATGTTAGATGCAATAGGGATTTTATTGTTTAGGACTATATTTCTGAATGAGTTTATTACAAATTTTGATTTTGCCTTTTTGTCTTAAAAATGTTTCCTTAGAGAAGACCCAGATGTCAGAATCACCCCCAGGTATTTGTAGGAATTCACTACCTCAATTTTGTTTGCACCATACCATTTCTCGTTTTTCCCTGATTGGCCACCATTCCTGAAAACCATAATTTTTGATTTTGCCAGGTTTACTGATAGGTTCCACAGGTTGCAATATTTTTTTAATTGGTTTATCATTCTTTGTAAGGTATGTTTATCCGAAGCTAATAATACAATATCATCTGCATATGCTAATAGCGTTATGCATTTATGAAAGATGTTGATTCCGCCCTCCAAGCTATCTTCAAGATTATAAACATGGCAAATAGCAGGGGACTTAAAACGCAACCTTGTTTCAAGCCTGTTTCTGTTGTGAAGCTGTTTGAGAGTCCATTTTTACCCCAAACCCGTGCAGAGGTATCAGCATATAGGCCTCTGAAGATTCTGACAATTTTAGACGAAACGTCCATTAACCTAAGTTTATGGAAGATCCTAACCTAAGTCTATCTATTCGATCAAAAAATGCAAAGACTTTGCCACGTTTGGTGCTTCTTTAATGTTTATTATGCTTGTTAAATTGAAAATATTGTCTACGAGTAATATTTCCAGAACCCCGCTTGGAATTCTTTGAGTATCCCATTTTGCTCTGTCCAGTCCATCAGTCTATCCATGAGCATGCTGCAGAAGATTTTCCCAATGGTATTTCCGAAAGTCAGACCTCTATAATTAGTGATATTGGTCATGTTTCCTTTTTTGTAAATTGGGAAGATAACTGAGTTTTTAAAGCTATCAGGCACCTGGTCTGAAGAATATATCGGGTTAAATAAATCTAGAAGTTTTGAAAGTAGTGGTTTAGGGGCATTTTTATAAAATTCGTAGCTAATTCGGGCAATACCTGGGGCTTTATTAACTTTCAAGCATTGTAATACTCTATGCAAGTCCCCCTCAGTAAAGGGAGCGTCTAATCTTTCATTTTCGACCATTGGTTCAGCAAGGAGAAGCAAAGTATAAAGAAAAATTCTTTGTTGATAAGCATTAAATTTACACTAAATGGTTTTTGAGAAAACTAATGGTGAATACGGTACTGCAACACTAGTAATATTGTATAAAGTAAAAAATAAATTTTATCTTACCAAAAACTGGAGCGTTACAATGATGGAGCGTTTTAAATTAGTAAACAATAGAGAGGATATTTAGCACAACAATATAAACTCAAAAATAAGTCAAATTTCCATAGCAACATTAATTGAACTTGAATTTTTTTCTTCAAAAACAGTTGATTGAATTAAGAAGGAAAATAATAAAAATTAATTGGAAAATTAGTAAATGATTTACTAGGAGTTTCCCAGAATTTTTATTAGATTTTATCCTACTATAACATGTTTTATGAAACGATTTATACCAATTGCAATGAAGATGAATTTTTGTATAAAATGAACAGAAACAAAACTCTGTAGGACCTTGTAATTATATGTTTCAGGGTATGGTTGTCCCATTTTAGAATATTTTCAGTTGTTTGGTCATAAAATCATAAAATGCTAAGTGATTCAATAGAAAACGTACAGTGACAATTTATTCGCATTCTCTGGTATAAAATTACTGGAACATAATTGGATAGACCGTACGAACTTATTAGGATCCGTAAAACTGCAAGCACTAACACACACTAATACCCGCTTACAAACTCTTAAATTATATGAACGTCTGTCCACAGTCAATTTGCGAAATTTCCATGTTCCACAGTGTAATAACAGACAAAATATATTATTTTCAAAAGCTAATTATAATACAAATTATTTAATACTTAGTCCAATTCCTCGACTCATGGGAATGAGTAATTAACTTCTTTAAATTGTCTCGCTTTTTACATTTCCTTAAATCGATTTAAATTGTTTTTTAATATTGATCATGGGCAATTGCATTTGATTTGTTTAACTATTAATGTTGTTTTCATTAAACTTTTATCATTCCTTGACAATTCCTTTATATTTGTTTATATATTCCTGTTGTTTATTTGTATAATTAAATTTTTATCATTGCTTCTCACTTCTTTTATATTTTATACACATGTGTATTGTGAACAATATTTACAATATTTTGTTTTTATATTGTTGTGTTCATATTTTTAATTATTGTTGTATGCATATTATTATTTACGTTTCATTTATTCATTATTACTAATGTGTAGTCTAAACTCTTATAGAACTTGTAAAATAAATAGATAGTTAAATGAACTAATTAAATAAAAATCCACCATTCAAGTACAACAAATGAAATTAAGAATCATGTCCTATGCCAAGTTGTATGCAAAGCAGCATTTGTAGACATTGAAATGTACATAATTATAACGAGAATTAAAAGAAAAAGAATTTAGTTTATTTATTTACTTTCATCGAGAGTTGATGAGCCGTCCTCAGGGATCACTCCTTCCATTTCTGCAGGTAGCTCCGTTGTTTGGTTGCCTTCTTCGGTTATTTCGTTAAGTACTTCTGTTTCTGCAGGTAGCTCGGTTGTTTGGTTGCCCTCTTCGGTTATTTCGTTAAGTACTTCTGTTTCTGCAGGTAGCTCGGTTGTTTGGTTGCCCTCTTCGGTTATTAAAATAGGCCCTTGTTCTTTTGTAGGTAGCTTCATTATGTCTTTGGCCTCTTCGGTTATTAAAATAGGCCCTTGTGCTTCTGCAGGTGTTTCTGTTGTGCAGATGGCCTCTTCCCTGGTCTTAATCGCTTCTTCTGGTACAGCAGTTGGCTCCGTTTCATATATAGGCTCTTTGCCGGTTTGGATCACCCCTTTAACTTCTGCAGCTGGCTCGATCTTGGGAGTCATGCTTTTCCATTCATCATCATCTATTTTTCTAAACTTTAACAGTGATAGCGTTGCTGGTGTCGCTCTCCTCGGTCTTCTTCTTGCTTCCATTTCAGATAACCTTCTTGCAAGCCTTTCCCATTTATTTCTGATGAACATAATCACTGGTGCGAAACAACAACATTTCATTTTTCGCTTTTTATCCATCGACCTGAAATTAAATTATGTAACAATCCATTTAAAATTTGAAGCAATCTGTTACTAATAATATGTTTTGCCAATGAGTAATACAGGGTGAATTGCTACTCGTGCTACAAACTTCTCCAGTAGATTCTTCACCCTAAAATGAACAAAAAAGTTCATATTGTCCATGGTCCGATTCTCAACCATTTCAGAGTAATTTCGCTTTTTATCGATTTTGAAAGATATCACGTCCTGGCGTCGGAAAATCGTGATATCTTTTAATCTAAACATTTCTCTTAAAATCTATAAGCACCGTTGAAATCCCCGTTAATTTTTAGAGAGAATCAAAATCATAATTCCATTGAAATTTTTTAATTTAATTTAATGCCCATTTAGTATGTAATGCTTAAGAAGTTTACAAACAGCTAGAAGGTCAAGGAAGAAAGACCCAAACGTTTTGCCACCTTCATCTTCTTATTGAAAAATTAACGGGGATTTCAACGGTGCTTATAGATTTTAAGAGAAATGTTTAGATTAAAAGATATCACGATTTTCCGACGCCAGGACGTGATATCTTTCAAAATCGATAAAAAGCGAAATTACTCTGAAATGGTTGAGAATCGGACCATGGTCAATATGAACTTTTTTGTTCATTTTAGGGTCAAGAATCTACTGGTGAAGTTTGTAGCACGAGTAGCAAGTCACTCTCAAACATTAGCAATCCTTGAACCACCATTTTTTCTCTTTTTGTCATCAACATCTTGGTCTCACAACCACTAAATAAGAAAATGACGAGTGCGTTGGAAGCGTTATTAAATCAGGTAGTTTTCCTCAAATTTGCTGCCTTCTGAGACTAAAATTAGAAACTCTGGATTACTTTATACACTTTCCGATTTACACAATTTTCCACTCTTTTTGTAGTTCTGGCTGAAATAAAACACAAAAAATTAGCCCAAACATTTTGCCACCGTCATCTTCTTATTGAAAAATTAACGGGAATTTCAACGGTGCTATTAGATTTTCAGAGAAATGTTTAGATTAAAAGATATCACGATTTTCCGACGCCAGGACGTGATATCTTTCAAAATCGATAAAAAGCGAAATTACTCTGAAATGGTTGAGAATCGGACCATGGACAATATGAACTTTTTTGTTCATTTTAGGGTGAAGAATCTACTGGAGAAGTTTGTAGCACGAGTAGCAATTCACCCTGTATATTGTCACAATTTTGCCAAAATTCAACAAAATTTTGTAAAAATACGTAAAATTATTTTGTTCAATTTGGGCATTTCATTTACATTAAAAGGTAGATAGACAGACTTTGCTTGCCCATTTCCCTATGGTGAAATATTTCAAATCATCAAAACCCACTTCACATTCACATCAGCATCTCTTTCTTAATATCTCTAATATAAAAATAAACTTTAACAGCATCCACCCGAATCGTAGGTGTTATGTGAATCATGTGAAGGTACAAAAACCCTTCTTTAGTGTAAACCTCTGAAAAGTGCAAGCAAGCAGCTCAACACGATTCTTGGTACTACTTGGTAGCACAACCAGAAACTCACTACTACAATCCAACCTTTTGGAGTAGGCACAAGGACCTAACCTCAAAGAATTAACCTTTGTACCCATTATAACTATCACTTATCTCCATTTAATAAATAAGTATGTAATTTAAGTAAATGTACTCGTATCACTGAAAGCTATGCAAATGAAAACCCATAAATACACTGACATGATGTTCGGTTGGTTTTCCAGTTTCACTTGTTGGGCTGGAGACAGCCGAGAGTCTTGCCTCTTCCCAACTGTGTACAGGTTGGATTAATGCAGGCTCTTCTTCCCTGGGTGGAGAAGCTGAAATCATACATACATAAAAAATAAATGAAGAAAATATAATAATGAAATAGGAATCGTTTTGTGACTAATCCCTGCTTTCATAGTGACAAGGGAGAAACTCAGCTACTACACCCATATGAGGACCAAATAACTAGAAAAGGCGAAACAATATTAAAAACATAGCTGTTATGAAGCCTCATCTGCTTGAGGATATCATTTATTTGCAAGCCTAATGTGCTTATATAAGTAAAACTTGGTCTCATGGACAGTCAGAAGTCAATGAAAATATTTGAGGGATTGAATAGAGAAGAAAGGAAAGTGAGTTGTAATGAAGAACAGAAGCCAAAAAGATAACAAACATCAGTAGTAACCACAGTAGTTTGGAGCATTTAACAACTTATAAAGTTCAAAAGGCAGTATACATACCTGAACCCACACAACCTCCGATAGGATAAAGTTCCTCTCTTGACTCAGAAGATGATTTTTTGATGTTCAAAGTTCCAAAAACCAGATCAATGAGCAATCTGTGAAATAATTGATTGATTAATGCTATAGTTTGCTATTTTTCTTAAGTAATACAGTTAATGTAGGTGATAAAAATTAATGTTCATAATTGGGGAGTCAGAAAAGGATTGCACAGACCTACTATTCAAGAAGCAGTTATAAAAGTGAACGTTCATTATGTTGTGTGTGTTACCAGTTACTCGACCTTGCAACACAGCAATTGTCAGTCAAATTTGAGATATGCGATGCTGGCTAAATATTGTTTTTGACCAAGTAAAATAATGAGAAGTTGGAATGAGACTTGTGTCAAATGGAGAAGATAATAATACTGGCCAGGGTTCAGATGTACTATGGGAGGTGCTCAATTTGATATTTGCAAGAAGCTTTACAATCAACTCAAATATTTTCACATTTATTTATGCGAATTTATTTCATTAGATAATAAAAATTTTATTTTATTAACTCAAGTACTCCTTACTCTCTCCAGTATTATTTCCTATTTGTTAAATGGCTGGCTTCTGTTTGAGTATTGTTGGTGTAAATAAATTGTTTGCTTTATGGAGATGTTTTTACGTTCTAAAAAAGCAAATGACGTTCCAAACTAATATTAATTGACTGGCTAAGTATGGAAATTTTTAAATGATTGTAGTACCCATCCATAAGAATAGAAAACATACCCCACCTTATAATTAGAAGAAAAATATAAAGAAAAATTCTTTGTTGATAAGCATTAAATTTACACTAAATGGTTTTTGAGGAAACTAATGGTAAATATGGTACTACAATACTAGTAATGTTTTAGAAAGTAAAAAAAATGTTTCATCTTACCAAAAATATTCTTATGAGTTAGAAAGCAAGGGAAACGATATACAATACAACAAACAACACAAAAGCACAAAAAAAAATAGTCAAATTTCCATAGCAACATTAACCGATTTTGAATTTTTTCTTCAAAAACTGCTGATTGAATTAAGAAAGAAAATAGCAAAAATTAATTGGAAAATTAGTAGATAATGTACTAGGGTTTTTTTTCCAGAATTTTTATTAGATTTTATCTTATATTATTATTTTATAAAACAATTTGTTACCAATTGCAGAAAGATGAAATAATTTTTTGTTTAAAATGTGCAGAACTATTCTCCCTTTGTTCCAGGCCACATGGCACCACAACAAGAACTGATCGTGCTCCCATCAATACACTTTGTTACATTATTAATTTAATATGAAACAAATATAAAAACCATCTATTAATCATATGCACATTTTCACTTCATTATAAATATAGCCAAAAAAAGGACATCCCGCTCAACCATGGCAACAGGACCACAACTAGGATCACCAGAGAGTGTACTAAAGTTGGAACTGGTGAAATGGCTTGAGAAAGAAAAACTGAAGCACCATATAAAAGCACTAGGTGTGATGCAACCTGAAAGATTTATAATTCTTTCAAAAAGGAAGCCAAAGGAGATCTCTTTGAGCAGACTGGATTTGAGAGAAATTATACGCCCATATACTGCCACTGCCCTTTCAAATACCACTCTTATTAAATACCACCTAAAGAAGATGGGCAAAGCAAAAATAGAAATATGCCAAGAAAAAGAAGCCACGAGGAAATCTAGGAAAAAGTGCACTTTGTATGGTAGTAGAGAGATTTAAAAAAGTACATATAACTAATCCTTCAGAGTTACTACCATTTGTCTCATAGTACATGACGTTTTCTTTCAATGAAAAACAATAATTATTTTATCATATCAGTTTTATTCAAATTTTTACTCTTTTTGAAATATTCTTGTCTGATATCCTTGCTTATTTATTTATTTTATTTGTTTCCCGCAGCCAAGGAGCTTTTATTTGATCAACATTTTCTTGGACATTCATAGCCTGCAATTTCCCGTAAATACACAAAAATAAACAACTTCGAAATTGAATATTTACAAGAAATAAAACTTTATTAGGTCTTAGTGTCTCATTCCATTTATGCATTTTAATAAATTAATAAAATTTATATGTGTGGTGATTAGTGACCGTTAATCGAAAAAGGTGGGGTTGAGATGGGAAGTTAGTTGCCGAGTGGATCGAAGTCACAATAGCTCAAGTGGTAGAGCAGCGGCGTATCTAGCCAAAGATCGTGGGTTCGAATCCCGCTCGTGACACTGGCTTTTTTATCTCAACTAAAAACCTTAATTAATTGAAATATATTAATTGGTCAGGCGGACCACTAAAACTAGTGAATTCGTTACTTAAAATATAAATTTTATTTATTTAGAAATCGTGAGATGCGGTCTGGTGTGATGTAGGTTTCAGAAAAACATTTTCTTTATCGTGCCAACACTTCGATCTTTATTGAGATCATCTTCAGGGCCTGGGATTTACAAACATTGTTTACATATAACAATTACATTTTGGATGTGGAAAAGTGAATTTATACAATGCAAAATATATTTTATATATTCAATCAAAGTATTTCTACTCACTCAAAGTGTTTGTCTTCTGTGTAATTGTGCCATTCTTGCGTGTCGTGTCGAGAGTGCCAGTGAGATTTTGCTATTTTGTGTTTATATACGTTGGATTTTGAAGGGGTGGGGAAGGATGTCGGTATAGAAAAGACATTTTTGTATAAGGCGTCGGCTTCTTTGAGGTGAAAAGAGCCGACGAAGGGAAAAAATGTGTTGGTAATGGTTCGGCCAGATTATCCTTTCAGGATTATATAGAAAGGGATAAATAGGAAAAGGAAAGCTAAATTGTTGGGAAATTAGACTATGTGAAAAATATTTGATGTGTGGAATGTAATGTGATGATATAGGTATGTTATCTGTATTGAATTTGATTAATGATATTGGCGTAGCTGCGACTGAGTTTACATGTATCTGTTCTGTAATTGATGCTGTGTTTATCTCTGTTGATATAAACCATTTCTAAGAAATTACGTTTATGTTTGTTTTGTTCTGTGTGTAATACTTTTGGATTTTTGAAGTCGAAATTGTGTTGGTGTTCAACATGGTGGGTAGCGAGTGCTGTAGGATTTTGCTTAGGTTTTTTGCAATCATAGATATGTTGCTTTACTCTCTTGTCCAGATATTGGGATGTAAGACCGATGTAAGTTGCCGGACAGTTTAAACAGTTGATCTTGTAGATTACGTCAGATTTATTTGTTATTGGTGTGGGATCTTTAATTTTGGAAAAAAGTGTTTGAATTGTTTTATAATTTTTGAAAGCTATGTTGAAGTTATCGGACAAGAGAAATGTGTTTAGTTTGTGTGATAGGCCTTGGATAAATGGTATGGAAATGTATGCTGGTTTGTTTGTATTTGATAGACTTAATGTAGTATTATTAGTAATAGTGGATGGTGTTAGCGTTGAGTTGTAATTGTTGATTATTCTGTTAATTATGTGTTTAGTGAAGAGATTGTTATGGAGGATCTGTTTGTATATCTTTATCCACAAAAACATAAAGATATACAAACAGATCCTCCATAACAATCTCTACCCTAAACACATAATTAACAGAATAAAAATATATTTTGCATTGTATAAATTCACTTTTCCACATCCGAAATGTAATTGTTATATGTAAACAATGTTTGTAAATCCCAGGCCCTGAAGATGATCTCAATAAAGATCGAAACGTTGGCACGATAAAGAAAATGCTTTTCCGAAACCTATATCACACCAGACCGCATGTCACGATTTCTAAATAAATAAAATTTATATTTTAAAGTAAAGAATTCACTAGTTTTAGTGGTCCGCCTGACCAATTAATATATTTCAATTAATTAAGGTTTTTAGTTGAGATAAAAAAGTCAGTGTCACGAGCGGGATTTGAACCCACGATCTTTGGCTAGATACGCCGCTGCTCTACCACTTGAGACTTCGAACCACTCGGCAACTAACTTCCCATCTCAACCCCACCTTTTTTTAATTTTCCCTCCTTTTTGCCATTTTTCTAATTGCCATTTATCTCAACTAAAAACCTTAATTAATCGAAATATATCAGTTGGTCAAGCGGACCACTAAAACTAGTGAATTTAATAAGTAAAAATGAAGTATACCTTCACTAAAGCACTCCGTGGCCATTTCATTTGTCGCCGAGAATCGAATAGATTACACGAAATTTGAAAAATCGCAAAAAGGAGGGAAAATTCAAAAGGTGGGGTTGAGATGGGAAGTGTCCGAGGGGAACAACAAATAAAAATCTTTGGCAATGAGATAATTTTTCGCCTTACAATTGTTTGTTACAATTGTAACAAAAAGTTTAATTTAAAAGTTTTTAAAATTGTATTTAAAAGTTTAATTGTTGGATTTTGAAACGCAACCAGTTGGCGCATACAGCTGAATTCGCTAACACTCCCTTCCCTTCTTCACAACACCAACCCAAACTTTTATCCTTGCTTCCAGTTAGAATATATTTTTATTATTCCCTATTAGAAATCTCATTTTATATTGCCAATAAAGTATGTATGTAATACGTATATTTGTATTGCCAAATAAAGTTGTTTTATTTTTTAATGGGCAAAGGGCAAAAACTGTATGCATATTTTTCATACTAATGTTCAGGGTTTTTTACAACAAAATTATTCTTAATTATTTATCAAATGGTATAGATAAATTAATTATTGTCAAATAGTTGGTTTTTTGTATAATTGTAATTTTACAAGAGTTGAAATATTTTAAAAGCTTTCCAAATTGAATTGCCTGAAATAGTAATAGTAAAATATATCATCTCTTATATAAAACGTATCTAAGGAAAGAGATTTTTACTACGATGTTATGAGTTATTTGTAAAATGTTTGTAATTAAAAAAAATGATACTGGCAATTCATGTTTTGATGTTACTTTTGTATATCATTGTTTTTTGTTTTTTTTTCTCTGCTTGTTATTATATACAAACATGCAACAGGAGGTGTAAAGCTATTTAAAGAGTTCCAATTTATTTATTCTTCATGCATGCAACTACAAACGTGATAATTAATTCAGAGCTTTCATTTAATTAACAAAAGGCAGATAACAGTTGAGAGAGAAA